TGTATGTGTATATATGTTTCTCTTATTTTGATGGGATTTTTGCATGCAGCTGTTGTTTGTGTTATTGAATCGGTGGCTTAAAATCCTTTTTGTAGATGCGAAAAAAAAACTATGAATTAAATTACGAAAATGTATCTGATATATTCGCTTTTCTTCTGCACCATCGACTATAAACGAAAGCAATTAAAACAGTGTAATAAAACAACCTGAGAAGTTATCTTCTCGTTTCCTAACAACACGCACTGTATCCCTTCATGGGCAAGGGTGTTCATAAATGAAAATGGCAATAAGATTATTGTCTAGCAGTAGAACACTGGCCAGTTGGACAGTTAGAAGCTTCGACATGTTGACTTTTAGGATCTCAGCTAGGAAGTGATGTTAAATGGGCTGCCACTTGAAAGCCACACAATTCAAAAATGCAATTTGCTCTTGAGACTAACGTAGCATGCAAAAAGTAAAGCCTATCGATTGCCGCGGCTATTATCCTCAGCTCCTCAGGGACATTTGTTTAATGGGCGGTCAGCGTTAATTGCACATAAAATGAAATGCCCATACATCCTTTGTGCCTTTTAAATGTTAGGCCAAGGGATTATGTTTTGATGGGACCTTAGCTAGTTTGCACGCACATGTCACACAAAGGCTCAAGTTTCAGGCGGGCAGGCCAGGGCAGGGCAGGGCTGTAGCCGGTCCTTGTATGAGTATGCAAATGCGATAATCAACGAGGAGAGAAAAACGCACAGACTAAGGCTAAAAGGCTTTAAAATGCCAAGCGATGTGAACAATGACGATGGCCGAGCGCGAGGCAACAACATTGCCAAAATGCGAGCAACTCGTTTTTGGCTCACAGTCGCGTCGGCATATGCAAATGGCTTGTCCTGCCCCGCTCTGCCCGCCGCTCTGCCGCCTCGCCGCCTGAGTCCTTTTATTGTCCTGTGCACGGCCCTTGACATTTTGCGCCGCCATTCGTCAGCATTTTAATCGCGTTTGTGCATTTGCTTGGAAAAGTCTAAAATTGAACGCAAGTGATGGCAATTTGTACGCTTCGTCCACTCTGAGGCCCCGCCGAGCTCCACAATTTTTGTGGGGGGAGTGGAGGGTGCGAAATTAATATGCGCCGGCTTTGGAGCGCGCAATGAGACGAGCTCGCGCGTCGACTCGTGATTAATGTGGAGAATGCGCACTTATAAATTATTTATTACTATTGTTATTCCCACCATCTTGTGCTGCGACTTCTTTGGGTAAAATATTTAAGCCATACTTTTAAGTGCGACAGGAGTCGGGGGTTTATTGGATTTGACTGCTTAATATTCCGCTCATGAAATATCAAACATTTCGCTGACCCAAATAATTTCATAGCGAACAAAGAACTCGCAGCTTACAAATTATTTCAGAACAAAATGAAATTCGTTGCATGAACTGGAAAAACATCGGAAGCTGTAAGTTAAATGGATTAATGGCGGTACAAGGAACCTAAGTTAGTTGTCTAGGAAACGATCCAAGTGTTCTCTCAGTGTTTATTGCCGACAAACTTTAACTTAACTCTATTCTGATAGCTAATTGTGCAAACCTGCCAGACACTCCAATGGAGCAGCTGCCCCCATTAACATCGATGAAATTTATTTCCACTGCTCTTCTAAATCGAACAAAAATAGATTCTTCCGCCATATTTGAGTGAAGCGCAGCCATGCTCCTCTATGGTTGGAAAAAGCAATTGAAAACTTCATCATGGTTACAAAAATATTTTTACAACGAAATTGGCACACAAAATGTTGTCCACGAGGATGACGACGAACTTTGGCAAAAGCGTTACAAAAACTAACACAATGTACCACCACAAAAAGATGAAAAAAAGAAAAGTAAAACTCTGTAAACCACTGCGCCAGTTACCGGAGCAACGACCACGCCCACAGCCAGCCACCAGCAACAATGCCTCACAAAACTGTCACGAGCTTCTGCAACAAAACGCCAAATGAAAACTGAATTGATAACTTTTTTGCTGGCCGCCTGTCCCCCCGTCCCCCTTTCTCCCAATCTGCCCTTCCCTCCTGCCTTTATGCCACGCCAGGGCCAATTTGTAATCTAAACAACATGGAGAACGCCGTCGGCCCACTGCCAGCCCCGCTAATAACCAAATCCAATCGAAGGAATCGAGAGAAGTTGACAGCGCACTATGCACACAATATTGCTCACTAAATGGCGTGCGGTGGAGCCAGAGTCGCGGCGGCACTACGAGTGCTACGAGTGGAATATTGCATGTAAAAATGTATGTAAAAATGTCCATTTAATATAAACGCCATAAAACGAAATCAAAGTGAAGTAAGTGGAGCAAGAAAAACGGAGAGGAAAACTATCGAAGACATACATAGAAAATGGCATGCCCTTTCGTGATGTTTAACATAAAACGAAAAGAAGAATAGACGAAAAGAAAGGAAGGCCTAAGTTGGCGAAGAAGACAATAGATTTGAATGCAAAATAAGGAAAACTAAAACTCCTTGCTATTTACCATTACTATTTACTATTTACCAATTGCAAGCAAATTTGTGATTGAGGTTTGGATTGCGATACGTTAGGATGAACTTTATCGTAGACTTATCGAATGCTTTTTAATAAAAGAATAAAATTTATCAGAAATACAAAAGCCTAGCAAAATAATATCTTTCCTCTTCAGAAATATAGCATCCAATACGTTTTAGTCCCTTTTTTGCATTTTAAACGTGGCTTATTCATATTATTTTAAAATGTTCCAGTGTTCAGGAGTTTGCAAGATACGAAAAGTACCTGCAGGGAGGATTGTATTTCGATAGACTAACTCAAGCTTCAAACCGGAATAGGGCTGCGTTTCTAGCTATAAGAAAAGCTGAAGTTTTTTGGTTACTTTAAATTACGATTTTCAATTTTTTCGAGTGCGATTGAAATGGAATTGTCGAATTCGAGTTGAAGTTCTCATCAAATACAAATTAGTGTTTATTTTTAATCGTTTCTTAGTTGTATATTTAGGCAGAGTTGCTCTAATAATAGTATACAAGTAGTTAGAGGCTTCATATCGACTCAAAATATTCTCTCACCAAGGGTATGAGACACCGTCGATGAGCTTCAGCGAAAATGGCTCTCTAATAAAGATAGAATAGCGCTTGGCTTCGGCATGGGCATGGGCTGCTGGCTGCGGATGTAACAGGCTGGAATGCAGAATGCTGCTGATATTGGTTGGGGAGTATTGGGAGTATTCATGATAAACTCTTATGACCCACATAACAGCTAGCCAAACGAGTCAGGCGTTCATCGCCGCCATTCAGCCAACCACCGTTATAAATAGGTGGCACATGGTGCATCCGGCGGAAGTTTGCTACAACATTTGGCCCCACACACAAACACCACACACCTACATGTTGCCACACACACACACACACCCACCCATGGCTCTACACACTTTGAAGTTAGTTATAAACGTTTATCGATATTATAGCAAAGTGTTTACAGCAGCATCTTCGGGTCGACTTTGTTTGTTTGTTCGTTTGGATATTTTTGGGCAACTTTGGCGCAAAACTTTAACTTGAAGACAATGAAATGCAAACAAATCACGAACACGAAACTTATGTGGCCACATGCCGCCAAGTGTCGAATAATGGTGAAGTATGTGAGGATATGCCAAGTATTTTCAAAATGAAAATCTGCAAAGTGGCCCGCATGTTGGAGAAACTAATAATGGTGGCATTAGTACAACACACAACTATGGCTGGCTTATACATATGGGCGCGCTTACATTTGTGCTTTCTGGCGCAAGAGGCAGGACTATGGAAATGATAATGGATGTGTATAGATTGCGTATATACTCTAAGTCCACATCCTGGCACAGTCCCTAAGCTAAACTACATAGAATGAACGAATAAGTTGGGCCAGATTTTGAAGCTGCAGTGTGACATTGAAAGAATCAGAATCTGACTGCACAGTAATGTATATAGTTTTGTTACTACGAGTGATTTTGATTATGATCTGGTTTTGCCTGACTCCCTCTGCTTTTCGTATAACGACTTTTTAGGGCATCCATTCGTCTTTTGTGCAGACCAAATAATATAAATGATGAACACATTATTGGTGCGGCTTTCGTTATTTCACATCGAGGTCAAGTCCCTAGCTTTATCTCGACTGTCTTCGTCTCCTGTTCGCACCGCATTCCTGCATATAGAATTTTATGTGTTGCGAAATGGCTCTGCGCTGCCATAAATTTCAATCAAATATTAAGCAAACAGTAAAAATCTGCGGCAACATGGCGAAATCCAAATCCTCACTCATATTCCCATCGTTTATCAGCGCACAGGCTACCGAGGAGCAGAGTCCTCCTACACCTACCTCCTGCACCGTGCCCTGACATGCTGATGTCTGTCCTGGATTTTGTTGCTGTTGTTGTTGGTGTTGTTTCTGTTGAAATCAACACGAAATTGTTTTTCAAAATAAACAGAAAAAAGTTCGCGAATGGCGAAGACAAAAACAAAATATGATTTTATTTTGAAATACATTTCGCATCAACACATTATTCACAGCGTCGCCGCCGCCGCCGCCGTCGCCGTCAGCGTCGTTGCCAACCAAACAATAACACTAAAAATTTATAACATGATGGCCCAAAAGGCAAAAATAAAGCAAAGGAGAGGCGGGGCGGGGCTCCGTGAGCTCTCAAAATACTTTGCGGCGCGACGCATGATGAATGACAATTTTTATCTGATTTGTTTGTGCCGCACACACACAAAGCCTAACACACACACACACACACACAGACACACACAGACACACACGCGTACACTCGTAAAAATAGGCAAAGTAAAGCAAGGATTCGGGAAATATATAAACGGCTGCACACTGAGTAATTGCATTTTGGCCATGTTTTGTAACTTGGCGATAACGGCAAACACATAACGAGTGGAAAACAACAAAGGGCGGATGACGCTTTAAATTATTAAAATTGCATACATGAAATACGAGGAGGGGGGGGGGGGGGGGGGACTTACCCGCCAGAACGGACGTTGAATTGTGTCGCGGATCGTAGGGACACACAGCCTGGCCATTTTTGGTTGCCTCCAGCGTATAGTTGCTGTCGTTGATGATGTAAGTGTTGCACATCGGCCGGAATGAGTTCGTGCCACAAACGAACAGGCGACCCGGCGAGGGCACCACCATGATGCGTATATAATTCTGACAGGCCTCCTGCAAAGAGAATAGAAAAGTGGAAAATCGTAAATTGCGCAAAATTCATTTCTTATTATAGCACATTATAATTGTTATACTCGTGTGGTTAAAAAGTCCAATAAATCGAAGAAAGAAAATGTTGAAATTAATCTCAACTGAGACTCAACGAGACCTTAATTTCTGTACCTCTGACGAGTAGCATATTATTCAAGATCTCAGGACATTTAAAACGCGTCTAGGATGCGGAAAAGAAAGGCGACAGCAGTGTGCCTTTGTGAAACTTTGTAAGCAGCTCTGTCTGACTTCACTTCTTTTTAAATTATTGATACAGCGTTCAAAAAACGTTCTTTACGAGTCTCAGTCCTTGTAGTTATTACTGTACTTATTATTAGCATCATTATTATTATTAGCATATTATAATTATTTATACACTTATACTAAATAAGCATTCCTTTTCAATAAACTGTATTGAAAACATTTCGAAAGTTTAAGACACCAAGCTACAGAAAAAGCGATAGCTGCAAAAACAGTCTGAATAGTTAATATCTAGTTTAAGTTTCGTCCTTAATATTGCATTTAGTTTATAATATAATTTGTTAATTAAGCACATTACTGTGCATTTCAAAGAACACAAAGAACTTTGGAAAACCTCATATGCTGAAATCGATGATGGAATTTCGAATGCAAATTAAAATGAACTGCTACTTTGATGCCTCATCCCTATTGCATAAAATTTACAAATACCCTGTCCTGCTTTTGGCTCAAAACTTGGCTGTCATATCTAGGCTTTCCAAAACACTAACACCATTTTGGACAGAATTTTTATTATTAGCATTCTTAAATTCTTCATTTTAGATGCAGCTTTTGAAATTATGCAAACAAATCGGATTGAATGCTTTTTATATTCATAAATGAATTCATTATGAAGGTGGTCGCAATACTAATCCACGAAATGTAGCTGAAGGGCTATACTATTCGAAAAACATACGAGTACCACATTGAACACGCATCCACATCCATTTTCAAATCCCGCAGGCTAACTCAATCAATTAATAAGTTTGGAAGCAAACACATACTTGTATGTATTTGCTGACTTCTCAGCCCGAACTGTTCGCAACAATATTTGATGGCCACACAGAGAATTGAACTGTATACAAGTATGCATATGCTGATGAAAAATGTGTACTTCCGCTGCTTTTGGCCTAAATATGCACTTTGAACTAATGCACAGAAATAACACAGAACAGCAGAAATGCATTCGGGCAACGGAAGTGCAGAGCCATGCTAGTGTGTCAGTGTTTGCGTAGTTTGCATAAATGTTTTGCAAATTGAAATATTTAATGTGTTGAAAATATATATGTGTACGAGAACATATGTATATGCGAAACACACACACACACACACAAGATATATGTACTATATACCTAAGTGGGGGCACGCATATAAGCATGCCAGGACGAAAAGATGCAACTCAATAAATATTTAAAGGCCAGGACAGCAACTCGAGTTTGCAATTCACCTTCTTCTGCGTGACAATCACAAAATACGCATACGCAGTGTGTGACGGCGTATATGCTAGTTGTTGTTAGTGTGCGTGTGTGTCTGACTCTTGCTCGACGACAGGAAGAAAACTTTTGCCGCATTTTTGCATTTGTTGCCTTCCATTCCATTGAAGCCGTTCCTTCCCCACCGCTATTCTCTATCTGGCCCATTTCGAGCTTTGCAGGCCGGATGTGCTGCATGTTGTTGCATTCGCTATCTGGCATGACAAATCATTTGATATTTTCCCCGCAGCACAATTTGCTGCACTTTGCATTTTGTGTGCGTGTACAGATATCGATGCGTATAGTACGCTCTTCTTGTAAACGCATGTACTATGAGCTTGCTAAAATATTTATACATGTCATTTATTTGCGTACTAATTCTCACAATTTTCGCAACGCATCCCATTACTGTTCTGGCAACAAAACTAACCAAGCGCATATTTCGGTGGAGAGTTGTCATTGATAATGTTGGTCAAACGATAGAGGACTATCGTAAGCCGCAAAAATTGCATTGTTCTGATTACTGCACACCCACACGCACAAAATATGGTTAAACATATTGAACGACTTGGGTTGGTTTGAACATTTTCGGAACTCGGAGTTCTATAACCACATAACTATATAGTATTCACTTACTGCACTTGATCCAACCCCTACAAATCTACAAATCAATTTTTGCCCCAATTTTGTTTTTTTCTGTTCGGAAACAAATATCTATATTTTCAAAATTATTTATTTATTGAGTTGACAGAAATATTTTCGCCTTAAAAGCTAAGGCAGCCTTTAAGCTTGGATATAGGTTATAGACAACCAAAATTGTATTTTTTAGCGAACTTGTACACAACCCAACAGTTAAGCTACAGAAATAATATTCATTTATTAGTAAGTAAAAGAATATAAGAGCAGCATTTGAAGAAACAAATTTGCTTCAGCAATTAAATTCATTCAAAGTATTGGTATCTCCTTAAGAAAGTTCACTTCATTTTAAACATTTTAAACGTTTACATTTCTTTAGCAATTTAATTTGTGCTTTCGATAAATTCGCAATGTTTTTTAAGGCAAAAAATCGCATTTTGTTATTATGATTTAATTTACCTAACAGGTGTTCTTGTTCTACATATTCGCGTATTATTAGCATTGCTTCTAATTATTATTCTTAAGTGTTAGTATAGCTTTAAGTGAACTACTTAGGAGTCTTTGATTAAACTCTCCCCCGCTTTCGATATATATAAGTATTAGAAACTGTCTATTCATTCGTAAACTGAAACAACATCTTTTATTACTAATTAAGTAGATAAAGTATTATACCTTCAACTCTTTATTATTAACTAATTATAGAAACACAGAAATTTATGAGCTAATTTTTGTGAATAAATGAAATGAAATAAGGAAAATGTTATTATTATCAAAAAAAAAAAAAATCTTCAACAATAAATCAAAAAAAATAAATAAAATCTTTTAAAGCTTATTCATATTGTGCACTTTGAAAATGACGAACATATTTGATTTAAAAAGTCTAAAATCGAAACAAGGTTATCTATTTCGAAAATGAAAGCATTAGTTACTGGTCAGACTTTGAGAGACTAATATAGAAAACGGTCTGATCGGGAATTAAACTAGAATAGCTTCAAACTCGTATCCAATTACTGTACAAGCTAATACTTTCTAAATTTTCTTTCTGAATTCGCTGAATTCTGGAACCGTAGGAACTCCTCTCGCCAGAATTTGTTAACTCGCATTCGCGCTCTTTTGGCATTTTCTATTTGCTTGTTTGCTCCTGCCGGTCGTCCAATAACTGGGCGAGCAGTTAAAAGACAGGCCAGCTGACAGACAGACGGCCAGCATATTCCATTCCATTTCGTTTTGTTTATTATTTCAAATATTTAACGTTATTGTTGTTGGTTTAGACGCTGTTTGTTGTATCCTGTCCTGGTTGTTGTTGTAATTGTGGTCATGGTTAGGCTCTCGAATGTAGCCAACCAGCCACTAGCCAGGCAGGCCCCTTTGTAAATGTTTGGCTTGTTTCAAGCATAAATTTAAATAAATTAACAAAACACATTTTACAACAATTACACGGGGATGCCCGGATAGTCTGTAGATTCCACTTTTCACTATTGCCGTTGTAATTAACACAGACAGCTACAAAAACAACATCACCATTCACATGAGTGTGTGTGTGTGTGTGTCTATATGTGAATGGTGTGTGTTTGCCAGCTCGAAATTGTGCGTGTTATTTAGAATGCAATTAACTGGAAAATTTATTAATTTGTTGTTTAAAACTTGTGGCTGCCATTTTATTGGAGTTGCGCTTGTTGTTTTGCGCTTCTCATGATAACAACATATTCTCGCTTTTATTCATGAGTAATAAATGATTATTTATTTTTTCCTTTCATTTCTGATTATGCATATTGCATGCTATTTTATTTATTAAATTGTCAACGGGCGTTAGTGCACATTTATCACTTGCATTTCCACTTTAATTTTGAATTTTTTCGATTTTCGGCAATTCAATTTCACTCGCGAATATACTATACAAGGTGATTCCCTAAGTTGTAACATTTTATTAATATTGTTATTACTTTAATTTATTATATTATCTTTGTGGTGTCATCTCTTGAAGTAAATAAAATCGTAATGGAAATAGGGCAGCGAAAATATTGTGTTGGGAAAAAGTAAAAGGCATATCAACTAACACTAGTTGATAATATCGATTTACGGCATCAAAACGCTGCTTCTTAAGTATCAGTCCTGGGTCGCTGATTGAGACCGTAAGAGAAAAGAGGCATATCCGTAAGTATTTTAGGACGCAATTATATCGTATGTATATTTCAACAGGCAGTTCAATTCGGGGTACTGACTATTACTGACTATTACTTACACGCATATATTTTATGGTTTATTTTCGGCATGTTCCAACACAACTTTCATATAATATAGTTCATAAAGTAGACTAGATGGATTTTTCTACCATTAGCACCCATATGGGTAAACACTGAATTCGGACCTGTATCATCAACAGTTAGACGGCTTGAAGGAAAACAATTCCAAAAAGCGCCCACAATTCGCCAAAAAAAAAGAGGCGTGCTTTTCAATCAGACAACGCAATCCATGAATCGATCAATAAAATGCGTTAACAGTGGAAAAAACTTACTTCTTTTTCCCCACCCCAATATATACTTTTGGGGAGTATTACACCTCCATCTAGATTTTACAAAAATGCGTAACTGTTTCGAAAAAGCATTTCTTCAAAAGCTTTCAAACTATGTCGTCAGAAATTGGAATTTTGAGGAGTGGTATACAATTTAAATGTTGTTGCTAAAATGGTGTTTAAAATAGTTATGGAATAAATTCCATATTCTTTTATAGCTTCCAGCTCCAAATACGTACTCGCTTACATAAGTAAAGCATTTAAAGCAAAATGAGAATAGTTACATTTATTTGACAAATGGCACGTAATTTGATGGGGTTTGCGAA